AAACACTATGAAATAAGTATATTTAATATGTTTAAATAAATAAAAGAAGGGATTGAAAATACAATAAGGCAAGAGATATAAAAATACCAAGCAAATTTAAAGAGAACCAAATAAAATGTCTAGAAATGGGAGAATATAAAAACAGAAATTTAAAAGTTCAATGCATAGTTTTATCTGCAGAGTGGCCATAGCAGAAGAGAAATTTAGTAACCTAGAAAACAGAGCAGAAGAAATTAAATAAAAGATAAAAAGATGGAATACATGAAAGACAAGTTAAGATACGTAGAAGATAGAATAGGAAGGTCTAGCATAAGTTTAATCATAGTTCCAGAGGGAAAGAGAGGTGGAAGTAGAGACAGAGAATATATACCCAAGAGAAATGAAAACATATGTCCACACAGACTTCCACATGAATATTCTTAGCAGCATTATTCATAATAGCCAAAACATGGCAACAACCTAAGTGTCCCTTAACTGCTGAATGGATAGACAAAATGTAGTATATTCTTACAGTGGAATATTATTCAGCAATATAAAAGATTGAATTAGTGATATATGCTACAACGTGGATGAAACTTGAAACGTTGTGCTACGTGAAAGAAGCCAGTCATAAAGTACATGTATATAAGAGTCCATTCATATGAAATTCCCAGAATAGGCCAATATACACAGACAGAAAGTAGATTATTGGTTGCCTAGGGCTGGGGGTAGAGGGTGGGGAACAGAGAGTGACTTCTAATGGTTATAAGGTTTCGTTTTGAGATGATGAAAATGTTCTAAAATTTGATTATGATAATGCTTGCACAATTCTGTGAATATACTAAAAACCATCAACTATACGCTTTAAATAGGTGAAATGTGTGGCATGTAAATTATGTTTCAATAAAGCTGTTAAAAAAAAGGAAGCTAATGGAAAGAAGTCCCATTACCTTTAAAGGCATGAATTTGGAGTGATAGCTTGACTTCTTAATAGCTTTTGTTAGCCAGAATATAGTGGAATAATATCCTCAATGTGCTGAGAGAAAATATCTCTGAACCCAGAAAATTACTTTTAATACTCAGCAACAATATTGAAGAAAAAAGAATGAAGTTGAGATAGTTTTAGACAAAAATTGAGTTTGCTGCCAACAAAACCTCACTAAAGGAAATTTTAAACAATGCATTTCAGGCAAAAGGAGATTCCTAATGGAATATCTGAGACGCAAAAATAAATAATAAACAAAGATAGGGCCGGCCCCGTGGCGTAGCAGTTAAGTGCTCGCGCTCCGCTGCTGGCGGCCTGGGTTTGGATCCCGGGTGGGCACCGACGCACCGCTTTTCAGGCCATGCTGTGGCGGCATCCCACATAAAGTGGAGGAAGATGGGCACAGATGTTAGCTCAGTCTTCCACAGCAAAAAGAGGAAGATTGGCATGGATGTTAGCTCAGGGCTGATCTTCCTCACAAAAAAATAAAATAAACAAAGATAGTGACAATGTAGGGGTAAATCTAAATAAACATGAACTGTAAAAAATGATGAGTTAAAAACAAAACAGGAAAGAACTAAGATATATGACAACAATAGTGTGTATGTCAAGAGTGGTGACTGGACTTAAAGTGTCTCAAGATCCTTACATTATTCAGAAAGAAGATAGGTAGATTGACTTTAGGCTTAGATAAGTTAAAAATGTAAGCATGTTATAATTTCTAGGGTAATGTTAGAAATAAGTAAAATAAACACATAAAATAAATATATATGAAAGTATAACTTTTAAATGAGCAGAGACAAAAAAAACAGAATGAGAAAAAAATTCTTCAAAACAAGGCAAGAATAAGAAATAGAAAAGGTAGATTATAATATAGAGAGCACAAGGTAAGATGGTTGAAATGAAATCACGTATATCTGTAATGATAATAAATGTTCCACTTAATTTTTTTAGACAGGATAAAAGAATCTGGGTATATGCTATTTATGAGAGACATCTACAACATAATGTTAAAGACACATTGAAAGTGAAAAAAGACGCACTAGCCAAATACTAAGCATAAGAAGGCTGTTGTAGACTTTAAGGCAAAGAAACCATGTTAGAGCTGAAAAATTGGCAGAAATACAAGGAGAAAATTATTTCACCGTTATAGTGGATGGTTTTAACTCACCCTTAAGTAATCAACCGATGCAGCAGATTAAAAGATCAAAATATAGAAGACTTAAATTACCCAATTAAAAAGTGTTTTTGAATGCCATGCACATATTTAGAATATTGCACCCAAAAATTGTTGGATACATATTCTTTTCAAGTACACAGTATATAAAGTACATGTGTGATAACTGACCACATACTGTGTCATGGAGCAGGATACACCAAATTTCAAGTGATTAGGATCAAACAGACCATGTTCTCTGTTCACAAACCAAGTAAGAAATAGAAAACACAAAGATAAATAGGAAACATCCGTGTTTTTGGAGACTAAGAAACATACTTCTAAATTACTCATGAGTGAAAGAATAAATAATGATGGAGATTAGAAAATATGTGGGACTGAACTATAATGTCAATACTACATATCAAACTAGTATGATCAAGCTAAAATGATACTTAAGGGAAATTCATAATCTTAAAGCTTATATATGAAAAGAAAAAAGGCTGGAAATTAGTAAGATAAGTATCAACTTAAAAATTTAGGAAAAGAAAATAGAATAAATCCCAAGAAAGTAGTAGGAAGGAAATAATTTAAAAATAAGAAAAGAAATTAATGAAATAGAAAATAAAAACGTTAGACGATCAATACAGCCAAAATTGGCTCTTTGCAGAGATTATTTAACATGACGTTGCCTCTGCTGAGAGTCCTCAAGAAAAAGAGAGTAAAAATAAAGAATATTAGGAATGAAAAAGAAGACATAATCATAGATGCCATAGATATCAAAAGATAAATAGATCTTATGAAAATTTCCTGCCAGTAAGGTGAAAATTTAGATGAAATGAAAAATTCTTAGGGGATAAAAAACTTATCAAAATTGACTCAAATAATTAGAAACACCAATATTCCTATAACCAGTAAAGATGGATGAAGTAACTAATGGTCTTTGGAAAAAGAAAGTACCAGCTCTAGATGGTTTTGCTGGTGATTTCTAATAAACATTAATGGGAAAAATATTTCAATTTTACACAAACCATTTCAGAACACATTAAAAGAAGGAATACTCCCTAATTTATTTGGAAGTCTAAATTGATACTAAAACCTGACAAGGACAGCATAAGATAGGAAAATTACAAACCAGTCTTACCCATAAACAAGGATGAAAGATCCTGACAAAATATTAGCAAGCTGAATCCAGTAACATGACTTAGTGGGGTTTTTCATAGCAGTGCAAGGAGAGATTAATATTTAAAAAATCCATTAATGTAATTCATTACAGTAACATATTAAAGGTGAAAAATGTGATAAATCATGAGATGCAGGAAAAATGTTTGATGATGTTAAACATTCCTTAATGATTTTAAAAAAACCCTCTTGGCAAAATTGAAATAAAAGGGAACTTTCTGAAACTTGAGTGCCTATAAAAAGCTAAAGCAAACATCAAACTTAATGATGAAACATTGAAATTCTTCCCTTTAAGACCAGAACAAGACAAAGAAGCCACAGTTTCCACCAGGCCGCCCTGTCTTTCTGCGTGGCCTGTGGCTGGTATGGGCTTCTTCACAGCAAGGTGGTCACGGGGTGGTTGGACTTGTAACATTGTGGCCGGCTTCCAGTGGGAGGAGGCTGAAGCTGCCAGTCCTACAGGCTAGGGCTGAAACAGGCTTACTGACAGGTCTGCTGCATTTAGCTGGTTGAAGCAAGTTGCAGTCCAGCCCAGGTTCCAGAAGAGGGTAAATAGACTCCATCTCTAGTTGTGGGAGTGGCATGTGTGCACAAGTAGGAAGAAATTGGTAGCAGTCGTCTTTGGAGATCATCTACCACAACTGCTATCAGATTGACAAAAATGTAAAAGGCTGGTGATATGAGATGTGGAGTGATTGATAGACTACACACTGCTTGTGACCTTGAGAATTAGTATAACTGCTTTGGAAAACATTTTGGTGTTATCCAGTAAAGCTGAAGATGTGTATACCATGTGGTCCAGCAATTTAACTCCTAGATTATTTTTACTGTGTGTACCAGGTGATGGGTATAAGATGTTCAGAATACTACTTTTTGTCATAGCAGAAAACCTGGAAACAAATTCAAATGTCTATAAACAGCAGAATGGACAAATAAATTGTGCTGAAGTCTTACAATGGAATCCTGTTTTTCACTGACCATGAATGAATTGCATGTATAATACCATGATTTAATCTCCAGGACATAAGAGTGAGCAGAAAAAAGCAAAGTGCTAAAAAAAAATACACAGCACAAAGTTAAAAACTATGCAAAACTAAATGGTATATTTTTTTACAGTTGCTAAAAAATATGGTAAGCCTAAAAGACAAGCAAGGAAATGACAAACACAAAATTTAGTGTGATAATTATTTCCAAAGAGGAAGAGAGGGAGATAGAAATGGGTTGAACTGGATAAGAACAGGGTGATTCTAATGATCTTTTTTGGTGAATTGAATGATGGGTGTTTCTTGTATTATTTTTCCTTATACGTTTTATATATTTTATGTTCTCTTGTGTCTTCTTAATATTTAATATAAGTAAAAACTGCCAATGCTTCCTTTTTTTTTTTGAGGATTCTCTTTTGTCAAACGATGCCCTTGAATGATCATTTCCACTGTGGAGTTGCAGAGAGGGTCCAGGTTATATCTTGGGTTGATTACCTTTATTAGCTCCCTGTTGACGCTTCTGAGGACCATGGTGAATAGACTTGGTAGTTTCAAGGGTGAGTTTGGCCAGGCATCTTTCTAAGCAAATTCATCGCCTGCGTTGTTGGATTAATGATCACTGGCTATTGAAAATTAAGAGAAAGCAGTAGCTCCCAAATGTAAATAGTAAGAGCTGCGGCTTCTAATTTCTTGCATTTTTGTTGTTGTTTCACAGATTGATCAGCTGAAGCAGGAGCTTTCAAAGAAGGAGTCAGAACTTCTTGCCTTACAAACAAAGCTTGAAACCCTTAGCAATCAAAATTCAGACTGCAAGCAACACATTGAAGTGCTTAAAGAGTCGCTTACTGCCAAAGAACAGAGGGCTGCCATCCTTCAGACTGAGGTAAGGCACTGTTTCAGGATTCCAGGCAGCAGGCTTTGAGTTGCTAGAAAATGTCCTACCTGAACAGCTTTCTTTTTTTTTTCTGAACTTTTTGTGTGTGTGTGTGAGAGGAAGATCAGCCCCGAGCTAACATCCATGCCAATCCTCCTCTTTTTGCTGAGGAAGACGGGCCCTGAGCTCACATCTATTGCCAATCTTCCTCCTTTTTTTTTTTTTTTTCCCTTTTGCTCCCCAAAGCCCCGGTAGATAGTTGTATGTCATAGCTGCACATCCTTCTAGTTGCTGTATGTGGGATGCCGCCTCAGCATGGCCGGACAAGCGGTGCGTGGGTGCGCGCCTGGGATCCGAACGCCGGCCGCCAGTAGCGGAGCACGTGCACTGAACCTCTAAACCTCGGGGCCGGCCCCCTGAATAGCTTTCTTTAGAAGATCCCTTACCCAGACCTTTGGGACCAGGATATTTTGGATATCAGATATTTTGGGGATTTTGGAAAGGTAAGGCCCATTGCATGTATCATAGATTGTGTAACACTCCCAGTGGGATTGCAGCAACACCCCATAAGCAAACACATGGATATTTCTACAGAAAAAAGAATTCTCACATTAAAGTAGGGTAAATAAAGACTATATAAGTAGCCTCCTGTCAGTTTGTGTCAGGTTGTGCCACCAAAGGAGTTTGCTTCACACTGGAATTTTTTTTATCTTTCAGAGATTTTTGGATTTGGGAACCACAGATAAATGTTTGGATCTGGAATGGTTTCATTTTATCAAAAATCATAAGAAAGTCAGAATGTCATCTACCTTACTTTGCTATGTGTCTGTATAGGTCCCCCTTCTGGCACCCGTGGTTTCAAGGCTGTCCCACTATCTAAGGCGTATCCTCAATTTTCAAGATTCTTTTACCCATTGAAGAATGTTGGTATCGTGTGAGTTTCTTAAAGAAAATGTTGGTTTGTTATTTCTTATTCATACTTAGAAGAAAAACAAATATATGTTACTATCTTATTTCTTTGCTTCTCCTCATTGGATTATATCTTTGGGTCTGCTAGTTATTATGTAAATAAAAAAGTTTCCAGAAAATAAATTATTACCTGTGGGCCATAGCAAAGAATGCTTCAAATCTCCTTGATTTTTGTGTTGGGAAGTGTGTGATGTGGATTACTTTAGGAGAAGGCAATCTAATTGAGTTACATGTCCTCTCTTGTGCTCTTTGAGCCATGTCTTTGCATGTATGTATTTCTGAGTCTGTGGGGAGGTTTGGACTTTCCTTAGGAGTTAATGGGGCCATTGAGTAGATCTGTGCCCTCAGTTAAGGTGCAGGACAGTGTCCAGAGGAGAAGCAGCAGGTTCCGGATTGGATAGGTCTTGACATGGACCCGACCCAGCCCCTATGCACTTGACATTGGCTAATAGGCAATTATTTGATTGCTTCAAACCAAAAAGATCATTTTGGCCTCAATGATGTAAGATTTTTCACATTTAAGAAATATTATTTTCAGTTGTGTATAGTTCCATTGTGAAAGCATGGATATTTTATTTTTTAAGGCAAAAATTTAAACCATGCCATGAGTTGAAAGTGGCTTATATCTCCTTTGAGGAGGCATCTGTGAATAGTATCTAGAACTGTACTAATACTATAGCCACTAGCCATATGTGGCTATTCAAATGTAATTAAAATTCAGTAAAATTTAAAATGTAGTTTCTTAGTCACACTAGCCACTTTTCAAGTATGTAATAGTCATCTGCAGCTAGTGACTAGTGTATGGGACAGCACAGCTATGGAACATTTCTACCATCTACCACTTGTCTAGAATAGGGGTCGAGGGGCTGGTCCCGTGGCTTAGTGGTTAAGTGCGTGTGCTCCACCACTGGCGGCCCGGGTTCGGATCCCGGACGCACACCAACGTGCCGCTTGTCTGGCCACGTTGAGGCGGTGTCCCACATACGGCAATGAGAAGGATGTGCAACTATGACATACCACTATCTACTGGGGCTTTGGGAGGAAAAAGGGAAAAAAAAGGAGGAGGATTGGCAATAGATGTTAGCTCAGGGCTGATCTTCCTCACAAAAAAAAAAAAAAGAATAGGGGTCGAAAACTATGGTTTGTGGGACAAATCCTGCCTTCTGCCTGTGTTTGTAAGTAAAGTTTTATTAAAACAGACACAGCTTTTCGTCTGTGTGTTGTCTTTGGCTGCTTTTGTGCTACAACAGCAGACTTCAACAGCAACAAAGACCATATGGCCCACAAAGCTAAAAATATTTACTCTCTGGCCCTTTACAGAAAAAGTTGGCCAACCCATGGCTTTGTGATTTGTGGGAAGGAGGTTGAGTGGGAATTGGAATGCCTGGCTTGTCCTCTCTCTAGCTGCCTTACTCTGAACAGGGCCAGATAGTTTGCTGACCCTCATTCTAGAGCACAACTTTTTCTTCACAGTGGTTATTCACAAAGCAATTGATTGTACCTACAGTTGTTTTAAGTTGGCAATAATAGCAGCATTACTAATAAAGTTAGTGTAATTGTGTTGCTGTGTATTGGATAGAAGGAAATTTGAGAAGCAAGGCAGTCTGCAGAGGTGTTGTCCAAACAGGCAGTCAGGCTTCTTGGCAATTCCTCTCCAGAAGGAAAGAATGAGAAAGTCAGCTCAGAAAGGCTTACTACCTTCCTCTCACCACGTTGCACTGATGAGCGCTGTATTCTCCAGCTTCTTTCCCTTCTCTTATTCTTTCCCCTGCATTTTACCTCTCTCGAATTAATGTAGTCCAAATTAGACCTATACATATTTCATTAAAAAGATGGTGGTGACATTATGTGGATAGCTTCCGTCCCATGTTCAATAATTAAAATGACCCAATAAAGAAATGGTGCTTTGAAGTAGAAAAAATCATTCTCCATGTGCAGAGAAAGTGAGAGGATTTTCTAGTTTTCTGCTTTGAAGTTGGGAGTGTGAGATTAATGATTTTATCAGTTGTAAACATCCGAGGAATTTTCTTTTGCTTTTTTTCTTCTTTTAAAATCTTTGTAAATGGAAATGGAGAAAGTTACCTAATGATGTCCATGTCTTAGAAGAAGAAGCAATTTAGGTTGAAATTAGCTCTAATTTTTGGATCATAGGCAGAGGATTTTTGGCAGCAGGGTAAAATACATTAAAGTGATTTTCCTGCTTCTTGGAGAAACAGAGGGAAATAAGTCTCCCTACCTAATGTGAAGTGAGTTAGTGGACAAGTATTCTGTAGATGAGATACGTTATGTTTCATTATGCCCTACCACAAAAGACCTGAGTTTATATTTATATGAAAGATATGGTGCTCATCCTTGGAGGAGGTTACGTGTGATAGCTCCTTCCAGTTAGATTCCTGAGTCATTCCTGAAAGTTCTTGTCAAAACAGAAGAGGGGTCTCTCTAGAATGGGAAGAGCCCTGCTGGTATCTCTGGAAAATCTATGCCATCACCTGGCTTTGGCGAACATAGTATAAATGACAGATGTCACTGGCCTAATGGTTCCTCTCTGCAAGAAAGGCTTTTGCTACCAGGGAATTTGCATTTGGGAGGTGGTAGGATGAAGGGTGGGACGAGGGGTGGGAGGCAAGTTGTCTGAGTTTGTGGCTATGTGGCTTGGCTCCTGGGTTGGTTTGTTTTTACTTGTACAAATGCCCAGACATTCTTTGACATGTGTGCAATAAATCAATGGAATAATAATTACACACACACAGAGATACACCACATAGCTCTTAACATAACATTTTACTTTTTAAAATAGCTTCAGAGGACCCCAAGGCCAAGTTTCTTATTTTGCTACTTCCCTTGATGTTTCCTATATACCAACTTACTGCCATCTGCCAACACGTTAATTCTGTGGCAGTAGAGATAATAATGAATTGACTTTCATTACCACCTTGATTTTTCTGAATTTCATTGAATAATTACCAGAACATATCAGAAACTAGGAAGAAGAAAGGCCTAGCTATCATTCTATGATGTGAAGTAAAATATGCAAAGAACACAGCATTTAGAAGTGGGAGATGTGTGGACATGCCTCAGCCTCCCCACTTAATAACCGTGACTTGAACAAGACTTGAACTTCTCTGAGCCTCCATGTTTTGTTCTATAAAATGGCAGTAATTGTGCCAGCCTGATGCATCATCTATATGGCAAGTGCTTTGACTCTAGTAAAGGATTTTAGCTATAAATTGTGTTGATTATTATCACTGCTGTTATTATTACTATTGTGTATTAGGGATGTTTGGGAAATACTCTACTTCACGTCTCTTCTTATCTTCCATTCTGTGTGTTCTGTCTTTGTGCGTCTCCTTTGAATTTTTGGTGTCTGCATTTACCGAGCTCAGATTTTTATATTTCAATTGAGTCACTTTTTTATGTCTTAGAATAATACAGAGAAATGAAGATACTGTGAAAGTGCCACCTATTTTGTTCTATCCCCAGATTAAGAGATTTCGTTCTGTTTTCTGGAGCTTTTCCCCAGCCTGGCATGATTTCTAAACTGCCAGGCGTGACAAGTCTTTGGCACGTTTTCTGAAAGATGTGTTAAATGGCAGTGGTATATGATGACTGCTTTTATACTCATTTTGTTCCGAATAGGTCAGGGAAGAATTCTACTTGTCTAAGAGTAAACGCATGAGAGCCTGTTAATTAACAGAGAATGTAGGGTTTTGTGTTCATGAAGGCAAAGGGCAACACTTGTAGGTTAGGTTAGTGGCAGCTCCATAACAAGGATCCATAACGTTTTTGTGTTTGTTTTTTAAGTGTAATCAATATAGGAGAGAATCTCATGCAATCTGTAAGTTCACTTCCCAGGAAAATTCACCTCTATACATACACACTCATATTTACAGGCAATAATGTATATAGTGTCAGGCAGTTTATAGATGCCCTGAAGCATTTCCAAGAATTTCATGTTAAACATCCATGCATTTTTCGTTCGATGCATATAGATTTCATGCATTTTTTCATGCAACACATATTTTTCGAATGACTACTATGTG